CCCCCGTTTCTTATTGTTCCTGGCAGACAGACAGAATCCCACCAATGTCGACTTCTCCCCCCCAATTAAGGGCTCGCGTTGGCTCTTTTATTTGAGGAATAGGTGCTTCTTTGGAGAATATGGCTTTTTCCCTTGTGCTGACCTCCTAGCACAGGCTCAAGGATTCCTCTTTCACGCGTGTTTCTTGTGATGCTTGTGAGTCTGTTACGCAGGCTCTTCCCTTGCTAACTTTACTGTAGAGAAGGGGACATTGCACAGTTCTTGTCACTCCTGCCAGGTACCCCTGGAGAATAATCAATGCTGAGGCTGGCACACCTTAGCGTACACTCGCTGTAAGATAAACCACGGGGGTTTGTTTTTCTGACTGCAGAATAATTCCTTCTTCTGGTAGTGAAGAAATATTCTTTATTCTTTGGTTGACGCGGGGTTTAACCCTGTTTTGTTTGCCTCCCTCTAGGTGTGGCCATTTGGATGGTGACCCCAAAGAAGTGTCCCCTGTCTTCACTCAGTTCGTTGAGTGTATCTGGCAGCTGATGCAGCAGTTCCCCTGCGCTTTTGAGTTTAACGAGCGTTTCCTGCTGGAAATCCATGACCATGTTTACTCCTGCCAGTTCGGCAACTTCCTTGGGACCTGTCATAAGGAGCGTGAGGACCTGAAGTGAGTTGGCAGTTCACAGGCTAGAAGTCACTTTAGATGTCAGGAAAAGGGCAGGTTGTGTGTGTTTGTGTGTGTTTTGTGTAATTGTAGATTGATTAAGGGGAACGTTGTCTTGATAGATGCTTCTGTTCTGCAGGGTGAAAAAAAGATGATAGATTAATTATATCTGCAAAGTCAGGTGTTTACCTTTGGAGCACAGTAACAACTTGCAGATAACCCCTTTTGGACTGGATAGTGGGTTTTAAATGGTTATATATTCCTCAGTGATGTATCTTGTGCTTGTGAAGTTAATCAGATACTGTGTAAAAATAATTCTTAGTTCTCTTAATCTAATTCTGCTCAGAACAGCTAGTGTTATTAGTCCACTTCACTTGATTCTTTTTTTTTTTTAGTGATTAGATGTTATTTGTAATTGACAGAATCTTTGAGAAGACCCATTCTCTGTGGCCTTTCCTCTTGCAGAAGAAGCAGGAATTCAGAAATCCTTTGTACAGAGGCTTTACAGCTTACAAAGAGCTTCAACCAAACACCCTACCTTTCAGTTTCCAGTAAGTTGCTTGTTGAAGAAGGGGAAGAAGAGGGACATTTCTTTCATTGTACCGTAGATGGGTAATTCAGGTTTAATGAAATCAATTGTCACTGATTAGCATGGTTTGTTTTACCTTTCCCCTCCGTTCCTCATCCATAAACTGGGAGTAGTAGTGCACAGGTAATTGCTAAATAAGTGCAGGTAGTGTCATTTAAAATAATATTTTTCCTTCAGTGTTGAGAAAGAGGGTGGGAGAAGGCAAGCAAAACAACTTCAGATGTGTAGATAGACACCCCCACCCCCCAACTGCTTGCTCTGTCAAATTTTATGTGACAGGGCAGCAATTGTTAAAGAAAGTTCCTCCTTTTTAATATATATTAAGGAAGTCTTTCAAACAGGAGTTTCAGTGCGCAGTCACACCCAGGCTGATGCAGTCAGGGTGGTTTTCACGAGAGGGGTTTCTTGTCGCCACGTCTGCTTGCTCGCCCGGGGTGGTCGAGCTGAAGTGGTTCGTTTTGCTTGGTTTCTGGCTCACTCCTGTTCCCTGCTGAGAGAGGGAGGGATGCAGAGGTGCTCGAGTGCTTTGTGTGGTTGCTGGTGGGCAAAGAAAGGGCTTTAATAGAAAAAAAAAAAGTAGGGAGGCAGGGCAAACCGAGGGCTTGAAGATGATCTGCCCAAGCCTCCAGTGATCCTGCTATACAAAAAAGTGTATTTTTTTTGTCTTATGCTAATACCTGCTGCCAGTGCATGTGGGTCATAAGCAGAAGTACTTAAATCCTCAGATTTTTTTTTTTAACTTATGAGACTTTGCCCATTGATACTGAATTTTCTCATCTCAGGCTGTGGCAGTGTTTTAAAATCGATGACTCATCTCAATTTGTTGAAACTTTTTTTCTTAAACAGCATCTCGTTTGTTGGCCACCAGTGTACAATCAGCTGCCTAACTGTGTTTTCTCGCCCTGTTCCTGAGGTTTTGGTGTGGGATGTATAATCGCTTTGACAAAGGAATGCATCCAAAACAGCGTGTGCTGGATCATCTGCTCAGCTGCATGAGCCAAAAGATGAAACTGGAGGACAATGCATCAGAATTGGAAAATGTGAGTCCTGAATCTTAATAATATTTAAAATCACGTGGTGGTTTTGGCAAATATAACTGGGATTGAACGTTGGCACCGAGCAATCGCTTCAACATGCCGGGCAAAATGAGGGGGTTAAATGACATTGCTGTAATAAATAGGTTTGATTTACCCAGAATTCTCATCTGTTTGGAAAAGCTGTGTTTGGTCAAGTTCTGTTGCCGGCTCGTGATGTTCTGATTTGCTAAATGAGGCAGGTGTTAAGAGAACATCTGGGTTTCAACTCCACTCGCAGCAGACTCCGAGGGA